ATATATATATATATATATATACACACACACACACATATATATATATATATATATATATATATATATATAAGTTATGAAAAACTTGGTAATCCGTATGGGTAATCCCAAGGAGGATTTACAATAATGGAACCTTAAATTGGTGTGTTTTTCTTTAAAATATTAGCTCTGGATTTACATCAATTTTCATTTCAATTTTCGTTTCATTTTTTCGAAGTCTATCTGATGACCCGGCGTCTTTTAAAAGGGCTCTGGTGAAATAAATTATTATAATGGAACCTTAAAGTTCAAAAATGTTCTCTTGCATATTAATGTAATAATATTCATTCCGCATTCTCGCAAAGAACACACTTATCTACATATTGCTTAAAATGTACTTTATATAATAGGAATAGTGCTTAATATCAAAGACATGATATTTGTAGATATAGATTACACCAATTGGGAAAGCCTCAACATCAAAGTTTCTACGTAATTAAAATAGAATAATCTCCATCAACTGGTTGACAGACCTCACTAGTTCATCTCCTTCAGGTCCCTTCTGAAATGTCCCTTACTAATGGTAACTACGTTATAACAGAGAGTTTCGCTTTTTTCATTTACTTGATTCTGACAAGTTTCATTTTTATATATCCATTGTCCTAAACGCAAAAGATTTTTTAAAACGAACATTGTCATCTTATTAGTAATTATCTATGTCTATGATACCACGGTTTATGGGAGTGCTTCTAAAAGTCAAAATGATCAGAACATGACGGCGTCCTTATTTCACGAATTTTAAATATGGTATTCCTCATTTTATCAACAGCTTCTACTATAATTGTGAAACTAATTCGACATTTTTTACTAACGTTAAGCCTCTACAATACCCAAGTGCCATTCAAAATAAATGGTTACTGAAGGCGATTCCTGTTCCACAGAGTAACAATTCTATATATATATATATATATATATATATATATATATATATATATATATATATATATATATATTGGTCAAACACGACATACCCATAAAGTTTTGAAATCTTGATCCCCCTTCTTTACTCTTCAATAAAATAACTTTCTGTTTTCAAAAGTAAATCATTTTCATCAAGAGTTACCTAACGTCACTTGAACATTGAACAAATTTAAAGTTCCGAAACATAGAAGTTTCCGTGTCGCGATGTAAAATATTTTAAATGAATATATATATATATATATATATATATATATATATATATATATATATATATATATATATATATATATTATTATTATTATTATTATTATTATTATTATTAAGTTATGAAAACTTGGTAATCCATATGGATAATCCCAACGAGGATGAAATCCTGAGAGCTCAATGTAAATCCAGAGCTAATATTTAAAAGAAAAACAGACCCTTTTTAAGGTACCTTAAAGTGTTTTGTTATTCTTTTAAATATATATATATATATATATATATATATATATATATATATATATATATGCAGAACTAGGTAATCCGTATGGGTAGACCCAAGGAGAATGATATCCAGAGAGCTCAATGTAAAATTCAGATGGTGTAAATTTCTTTTCATTTTTCATTTCAACCTTTGGAAGTAAAGTCTGATGATCCAGATCCCTTTCAAAGGTCTGTGGTGAATTAATTTATTATATGGAACTTTAAAGTGGTCTGTTTTATTCATTCAATATATATATATATATATATATATATATATATATATATATATATATATATATATATATATATATATTTATATATATATATATATATTCATTTTGCAAATATCATTGTCTTTACTGTTTATATTTGATGCAATATGATTAGCATTTTACAAATATACATTTGTTATATATTTAACTCTGGAATAGAGAAACTATCCTAAGGTAGCTGGAGCCTCCTCCAGCATTTATTATCGATGGGGTTAATCTTAACAATATAAGATACGCAGTTAATAGCAGACAAAGAAAGAAATTCACAGAGCCGCATAGGCATGGTAGTAATGAAAAGCAAGAAGAAAGGACTACCTATCAGTTGTAATAGAGAATATATGATTGTCATAAAAAGAACAACTCCAGCATGCGACTGACGAATTATGATATTCATTGCCATAAACCAGATGTTTTCAACCAGGGGTAAATTTACCCCTAGGGGGTAAAAACTTATATAGTCGGGGGTAAATAATTGAAGTACCTGATAATTTAAAAAAAAAACGCCTGAAAGCCGATGATGATATGAGAGTAGCATTATCGGAAACAGCTCCTCGCATTAACAAACTGATTGATTCAATGAATCACCAGTTTTCCCACTAATAATGCTTCTGGTGTTTCTGTTGATTATTTTTTTGTAATAAAAATTAACTTCATAATTTTCTATTTAGAAAAGGTTTGATTTTCTTCTTTTTTTTTGATACGAATGTATAATACTATTTTTATATAAAACCTAAAGTCCTAAACAATAAAAAGGTTCTTTCTGACCTTCTTGTTTTTCTGTCACTTTATGACACAGATGTACAAATGAATTATGGATTACTAATTTTTTGATCAGAATACTGAATTTTTACTAATTTTTAGTATTTGTCAGTATTTTTTATTTCTTTTTTGGTATTTTTACTAATGACAAATTTGCACAATTTTTAGTCACAAACTAGTCAGTACTAATCATAATCATTCATTCAAAAACAATTTTTTTTAGTATTTTCCAAAAAATTTTTATATTGCCAAAAACAAAAATACTAAAAAAATAATTTTTTTTGAATGAATGATTATGATTAATATTAATTTGTAGATCCACTATACAGCGGATAAAATGAATAATTAATGACTACAAACGTTAATAAAAATACTGAATTTTATACAGAGTACTAAGTTATACTAAAAATTTAGTAGATTAGTACTAAATAAGAAATCAGTATTTTGAGTGTCGCTTAGTATTTTTTCTTTTAGGCACAGTAATTTGACTAAAAAACCCTTAGTATTTTGAATGAAAAAATCATTCATTCATTTAGTCACGAAACTGTACATCAATGCTTTATGATGGCTATGAATTTTTTGTATGGGAGTAGGGGGTAAATGGAGAAATACATAAAGCCGAGGGGGTCAATGATGGAGGAAAAGTTGAGAATGGCTGCCATAAACGCAAGGGATTTTTAAAAGGAAAATTCTCATATATTTAGTAATTATCTATGTCGATGACAACACAGTTAATAAGAGTACTTCTAAGAATCTAAATGATCAGAACCTACGTCGATATTTTACGCTTTAAACATGATCTTCATAATTTATCAACAGCTTCTACTAGAATTGTGAAAGTAATTCGACATTTTTTTTTTACTAATGTTAAGACTCTACAATACCAAAATGCCATTCAAAATAGAGGGTTACTGAAGGTGGTTTCCATTCCGCAAAGCAACAGTTCTAACCGAGTAGACAGCTTATCTCACTTATGACCTAACTTCAGCTGCTTAATGAAACTTTATGAAAGTATTTTTAACATATAATACACAAAAAAAAACCCAGCTTGTCACGGTTCATCAACACTAAGCAAAAACTGCATTATCTCCCGTCATGATGAGTTGTTGTACTTTCAATATCAATCCAGACACCAGGTAGAATTCATATAGATGATCCGTCTTTAAAGATTCTGGAATAATGGTAGGTTCCTTGTGTTGTTCGAAAATGTGCCTCTGACACTTTCTTCTATAGTTTATATTTACAAGAATCAGATCAGACCTGACATATCTCTGATGGAGCTGCTCAAAACCCACTGGCATGATAGTAATGGAGAACAAGAAAGGACTAAATATTAGGTTGGTGAAAAAATAATGACGTAAGAATGTCGTTAATTAACGTAGAAAAGTACGTCAAAAAACGACATTATTACGTCATTATTTTTGCACCAACCTAATATCTGTTGTAAGAATATATCATTGTCAAGAAGAGAAAAATTCCAAGATGCGATCTACGAATTGGAAATCTCAACACCAAACATGTACAGAAGTTTAAATATCTTCGAGGTGTTTTAATAGTGGATGTAAAAATGCGAAAAACATGCGATACACACACGCATTGGTATAGCAAAAGACGCATTTCAAAAAGCTAAGCAAAGTAATAAGTAACAGGGAAATTTCCGTTAGAAATATAAAAATCACAAAACACGATTTACATTATTCAGACTATTGTCCTCATTTTTGTCGCCATATTTATCACAACGATTCGGCCGTTGTATGCTCCGGCCTTCTTCAGGTGCTTGGAATGTCGAACTGAGCCCTTTATTTCGCTCACTGGCGTAAACTGTTCTAGTTCCATGTGTCATATTTAAATATAGACAGATACACAAAACACAAGTGCTGAATTCTTACCAATACTCGTTTATGGTGGTGATTTCTGGAAAATTTCCTCGCAGAATGAGAGAAAACTGCAGTCGACAGAAATGTGGCCCTACAGAATGATGTTGAGAATATCATGAACGCAGCAACGAAGTAATCTTAAGGAAAACAGAAACAAAATGTTACTTATACCCAGAGTCAGAAAGAGAAAGCTGAAATCTCTTAGACACATAATGAGTAAGGAACGCTTGGAAAATTTACTACTTACAAGATATATCGCAGGCAAAAGGGGACAGTGAGAGCCAGTGATCCACCTATTCAGCTTGCGGGTGTGGAAGGGATGGAAAAATAAAAACGTTACTAAGAGCTAAATGTGATAGGATGTTGTGGAGAGCCACGATTGCCCTCGTTCGGAAGGAACAGGGGACATAGAATAACTAAGCAAAAAAATAAATAAAACTAGACAACAATGAAAATAGCGAAGTGAGGGGTAAAAGGCTGACACCTTCAGACAAAACAGGACAAAGTGCCTCAAGGAAAGAAAAAAAATCGAACAAAGTGCGGCAAAGTGAAACAAAAATACAGAAGAAAATAAACAAAGAGAAACATTGCAAAACAACGAAACAGGAAAAGAAACAAAGAAAAACAATGCAAAACAACAAAAAATGTGAAACAACGAGACAGAGAAAGATCAATGCGAAACAATGAGACATAGGAGTAGAAACAAAGAGAAACAATGTGAAACAATGAGACATAGGAAAAGAATCAAAGAGAAACAGTGCAAATCAACGAGACACGGGAAAAGAAACAAAGAGAAACAATGTGAAACAAGGTGACTCAGGAAAAGAAACAATGTCAAACTACGATACACAGGAAAAGAAAAAAAAAAAGAAAACAATGCGTAACAACGAGATATAGGAAGTGAAACAAAGAGAAACAATGCAAAACAACGAGACACAGGAAAAGAAACAAAGAAAAACAATGTGAAACAACAGAATAAAATTGAAACAATGAGACAGAGAAAGAAACAATGCAAAACAACGAGACACAGGTAAAGAAACAAAGAGAAACAATGCAAAACAACGAGACACAGGAAAAGAAACAAAGTAAAACAGTGCAAATCAACGAGACATAGGAAAAGAAAAAAAGAGAAACAATCCAAAACAGTGAGACACAGGAAAGGAAACAGAAAGAAACAATGTGAAACAAGGAGACACAGAAAAAGAAACAAAGAAAAACAATGCGAAACAACAAAAAAATGTGAAACAACGAGACAGAGAGAGAAACAATGCGAAACAACGAGACACGGGTAAAGAAACAAAGAGAAACAATGCGAAACAATGAGGCAGTGAAAAAAAGAGAAACAATGTGAAACAAACTATAAGACACAGGATATGAAACAAAGAGAAACAATGCGAAACAACGAGACACTGGAAAAGATACAAGGAAAAACAACGATACACATGAAAAAAACAAGTTGAAACAAAGAGGGAAAGAAACAAAGAGAAACAATGCGAAACAATAGGAGCAAAGAAAGAAACCAAAAGAAATAAAACGAAACAACGTAGAATAAACAAAGTGAAATAAGAAATGAAGCAGAACAACTTAAGACAAGTTAAAATCAGAAGAAACAACGCAAAATAAGATGAATCTACGTGAGACATGGTAAAATAATAAGACGTGGTCGAAATCACAATAAACAAGGCAAAAGAATAAGACGCTATCTCAAACAATGTGATGCACAACTAAACAAAGAGGAATTTACTGAAACAACGAAACCAAGAGAAAAATAGACAACACGAGTCAAAACGAAAGCAGGCGAAACAATAAGCGGTGTGATAAAACGAAACGAACCAAAGAAAAGAGAAAAAAACCGAAAAGAGAAAAACTCAACGAAAAAGTCAAGATAAAGCAAGAAGAAAAATGCGAAACAAAGAAATGAAACAAATGAAAGAGAAAACATGAAACAATTAGAGACAAAAGAAAACAGAAATGGTAACTGATGTGGACCCAAAGTTGGGACCACGGAAGGAAAACACGGAACACGGATAAGAGGTAAGAAAGATTTATTAAACAAAAAGGTTACAATGATAGTATAAGTGTAAGCGGAGCTTACTATGTGCTAGTGTCCAATATTGGTCGTCGGACGCGGCTGATACTACGATATTAGAATACTCTCTCTCTCCTTCTTCTTCTCTCTTTCTCCTCCTTCTTCTTCTTCTTCTCTCTCTCTTCCTCCTCTTCTTCTTTCCTAGAGTGTTATGTCGCATACTTTATATAGTCCTGGAAGAGTCCATGTTGTAGGTATGTTACGGTCTCACAATAGTAACACAACAAGAGACAAGAATAAGCAAAGGAAATAACAAAGAAAAACAACTAAAAAATAGAGATTATTGAGGAGGGAAGACAATAAAAGAACAGGTTTTCAAGTATACAAAAGATGACACCTGACGTCGGATTTAATTTTTGATGAACTTCTTTATCAGGAAAACAAGAAGCCGGTAATGCTTTCCACAACCTAGAAGCCCGAGAGAAGGAATTGCAAGCATAAAACATATGGTTCCATCTCACAATTTCAACAGCAAAATTGTGAGAACAATCCGCCAAGCTAGTATTGCGCTTAAAATCTTAACGTTAAGTTGCCAAAGAGAAAATCTCACCAGAACAAATATTAAGAAAATATTTATAGAAAAGGCAAAGTGAAGTTACGTTAGGGCGGTGGGAAAGTGACTGAAGCCGAAGTGTCAGGTTACAACGGAAAACATTCGATCTTTGAATTTTGTCAAGAATCTCTAAATACACAGCAGAAGTACTAGACCAGACGTGGCAGCTATATTTAATACGCGGATGTATAGTAGATTTATAAAGGTGTAAGCTAGATTCCGGTGAGAAAAATTGTCTATAAGGACACAGTGAACTAACATTCCTATCAGTAGACCTAGTAATAGATTCTATAAAATTGTTCTTCATGTCGGTGGGAAACGTTAGGCCCAGAAAGCGCGATGAGTTGCCCTCGTAGGGATTATCATTAATCCTCTTGATGGAAGGCAAAAAAAAAAAGAAAAGTTTTCTAGGACAACTATAAAAGAGCAGATTCGTTTTGAAGGCGTCAAAATTGGCAAGGCATTTCTTAGCCCAGGTAACAACAGATTGAAAGTCGTTTATGAGGGCATATACCAATTTAACCATAACGAACCTACAAGACTTTACATTACGATAGCAGTAAATACTTATAGGATCAGCATAGATACCGAACTCAAGAACCGATGCCATCGGAATGGTCTTTTATGAAATCTAAGAACAAAAATAAGTTGGACAAATAGTCGGTTCCTTGTAGCAGTTCAGAAAGTACCTAACTTCTCATGTTATGCTTTATTTTTACAATAGTTATATCAAACCAAAAATTGATTACTGCTGAAATAAAGTTCCCATGCCTAAATTTCTAGCCTTGACAGAGTTCAAAATTGCCTGCGTGTATTTGTCGGTGATCATTTCTTATCCACTCTGAAAACGCCTTTCCCACAGACGAAACATCGCAAGCATGTCAAATGTTCTGACGAGCTACATTGATTAGTTCAACTAGTTCAGACCTTCACTGCTAACACCCACTATACCAAGTACATTTGGATGAATCTTCCCATTCTTCTTCGTATTCCATTAGTAAAAAAAAAGAACTTCCATTCAAAAAACGCTTCTTTCCGATAGCCACAGATTTGTGGAATAGACCTCTGATAGCCAATCACTACAATCTTAACCTTATCAAGTCCAGGATCAACAGTTATCTATCCTACATATCCTCATGATCTTCTATTACTTCCTTCACTTTTGTACAACAATCTCATTTAATAATCGTCTCCTTTGAGGGAAACCTGCGCCTTGTATTGGGTGAACAATTAGTAAAGATAATGTGAATATAATATTAAAATGGAAAGAAAGTCTTGATTATTTTACATGCTCAATTTAAAGATATAGTTTAAATATTTACAGTAAGGTAACCATTAAGTTTTATGTTCTAGTGTGTTTTCTTTTTCTTTCTTTGCAGATGATTTAATATCAGAATGTCTAAATTTTATATCGATTTTACCGTTTCTTTGAATATACTCTCTTTGGCGCTAGAGGGCGTCGTTAGTGATGTTCTGATTTGGATCATTGGGCAGTTTCGGGTCTTTCAAACACCATACTGCCCTCAACAAGTCAACCCCACCAGACCGAATCAGTCTCTGATCCGCCCTCTAAATTAACTGTTATATTTAACAGTCCCCCCCACAAGGAATGTATGTGGCACAAGGCCGAGTTTAACTTGGGTTTCTCCGAACCCGTAGGCTCAGCCAAAAATATTCCCTTTGAACCCGCCTGAACGGGTTCAGGGACTGTCCACATCCCCGGACGAAACTTTGCCCTGCGGCAAATCCTCGTCCGAATTCCTCTCTGCTGAGGCAGAGTTTGACTGTTGAACAATCTATGCGACTGTTCCCTAAATTAACTGTAAATTAACAGCCTGCAGACACTGACTTATATAAGGCAAACCATACCCCGCTATCACGCATTTGATTGGTGGTTGACCAATAGCCAATCACAATGTTGTGAGCTATATTTAAATTGTTTACGGCGGATTTTTTTAAAGTTGTGTGGGTAACCTATCATTGGATACTCGGAAGGTAATTATATGTTTTCCTTTTTTTTTCCTTCCCACATCCCCCATCAAGTTTCAGCTCTCCAGCTAATAGTTACTGTTATTAAGAAAGATAAAAAAAATATATTCAGCCATAAAATCGCTAAAAATTTAGATTGAACCAACATCAGACACTGTATGCTGTACGAATTCAAAAAGGACACATCAACAACAGAGGCGGTGAAAGTATTTGTTCTGTCTGTGAATATGATGCTTTAAATACACGTACATGACAACAACGGTTTGACCAGTTTTCATCGAGAAATGTTTCTCTCGAAGATTTACATCGATCTAGACGACTAAGTTCTGTCAATATATATAAATAAATTTGAGTGAGCAAACCAATTCAATACAAGTCACACTTTCATCATAAAACACGTTCATGAACTGGAAAAAGTGGCCAAACTTACTCAATACGATTGTTTCTCAGCTTAATCAAAGCGTTGCCATGTGCTAGTCATTTTATAAGCTTTTCACTCCAAGCAAGGCGAAAGTGACACTAATACGCAAGGGGTTACAGAGAGTGAAATTAAGAGAAAAGACTGGGTATATGAGGGATTGAGGAAAGAAAGGATAAAAACAAGAACGGTGATGGAGCCAACAGATGTCGATTGACATTACATTCACATTTTTTAAAGATTATATCTATCAGGGAAGCAAGTAAGAGGAAAGGCGTTCCACTGTCGGGAAGTGCGAGAGAAAAAGCTGTTGGAATAGAAGAGGCGCTTACATTTAACACTTTCGACAGTAAAAGGGATGGAACCGATATGCTGACCGTGTAGCACGCTTAAATTCATGCAGGCGAAACACCAGTGAAAATAGCTCGTCAGAGCAGTTGCCATGAAAATATTTGTAGAAAAGACGAAAGGGAGCCATATCACGTCTGTGAGAAAGTGACGGGTGTCATGATACCAAGTCCGGGCCGATCACATTGCCTGTCCGTCTTTGAATTTTGTCGAGAACCTCGAGATGAATAACGCGAGAACCAAACCATATATGGCAACAGTATCCCATGCATAGACGAATGTCAGATTGGTAGATGTAAAGAATGGATTCAGACGAGAGAAAAAAAACCTTCTGGTGCAACCAACTTTCCTCGTGGTAGATGCAGCTATTGATTCAATGTAGTCAGTGAAAAACATGCGACCGAAAGGGCGCAGTGAGACACTCTCGTCATTGAAGAGAAGACTTGGATACCAACATTTTCTGTGTAAAATCATCTCCAGTGATGAAAACTAGGTTGTCGATAATCCTATCCACCGAAAACCACAATGGTTAACGTACTATGAACAGGAAGAACCCTAACTTAAATCAGGACTTTCTCGAAAAAAAAGAAGAGAAATGTTCTTTAGTGGGATATGAAGGGTGTCGTTTAAGAAACAGCAATAATTTGCGAATTAGGTGGGGTTATGTTACCGATAAGAAAGGAATATATATTATTGATTAAATAATTAAAATCAAAGAAACATTTGTTTCTTTTCCATCTATAAATACGACGGTAACTTCTTTCCAAGCTAATACATCTTGTTTGTTTATTTTAATTTGTCTTTTTTTTTGTTTTGTTTTTTTCAATCATTTTCCCGGGAATTTTGATAAGAGTTGTTCAAAAGGGGCGTAAAGCCTGCTTTGAAATACCCACGGTATAGAAATAAGCGCAATAAATTGAGATAAAATGAAAAGAGTTGCTGCTGTAATTTGATTGATTTTTTACGGATTATCTACCCTTTACAGATTATTTAATATCAGAATATATTTTATGATTGTAAGATTCGTTTTTAGATTATAATGATTTACTCATACAAGTATAACTAATTAACCTAAAGCTAGGGGAAGGAGAAGTGGATTCATGCCTTTCCAAGGATATTTGCGCGTTTGTGAATATAACGAACCCGACTTGGCTCTCCGAATTTCAATTCCTTTATCTATTGCACCATCCGCACATCCAAGCTTACAACACCTAATACTCCCAAGCGGTCACCCATCCCGGTACTAACCAGCCTCGACGTAGCTTAACGTTATGATCGTGCGAGAACAGGTGTTTCAAGGTGATATGGCCGTACCCTTTAGTGTAATTTAATGTTAGAAAAAAAAAGCTATCTACTAAACCGTACGTAAATGTTTCGCTTTTATATAGAAAAATACTGGCATGTGACGATGAGTTGATATTTTCCAAAAACGAGATACTGGAGTAAGCATCTTTGTTTATGTACCGTTTCCGTTCAGAACGAGCCGGATCATGGTTCTCCACAACTTCCTATTCTTTGCAGTACTCAGCAATGTTTTTTCCGCTTACTACCCCTCATAATTCGTGTTCGGCTATCCATTTATACAAACTAGTTATTTACCTTAATCATAGTTTCCGGCTGTCATTTTTTTTGCTTTCAGCATATGAGTCCGTCATTTATGTGCCATGCATGATACACGCTTAGGCGATCATGTGTCTTTCGATATATGACTGACGAGGCAGATTTTTCCCGCACTAGCTAGCCATTTCTTTCTGTAGTAGACCAGTTTCCATCCAAGGCTACAGAACCCGATCTGTCCTGCTATTTACCCATAACGGGAGTGGGGAGAGAAAGACGATTCATATCTTTCCCGAGGGTATTAGCACGTAAGTGAATGTAACAGATTCGACTGGAATTCGACCTTGGTTCTCTCATTCCTCACTCCGAGCCGCTATCCATTGTAGAGTGCCAAATTCTCCAAGGCTTCATTATGTGTCAAGGAATCATTATGTGGCACTGACTGTCGTTTTTGCTTCCAATTTCCTTTCAAACTTCGTTGTTGTTTACGCGTTGTGTCCTTTTTATTCACACCGTCCTTCTGTAGAACCACATTTCTGGTCATTCAATTCTCCTCTTCATCTGTGAGAAAATTATCCAGCATTCAATGAATTGATGTTACAGAGCGGAGCAGCATTCTTTCCTTGAACGTTTTACAACTAATTAAACCCCTCCAAGAAGTTGCCGAGTTCAAAATAACGATAGATAGATAGATAGATAGATAGATAGATAGATAGATAGACCGAACGTTAACCCGATAGGTATATATATATTGATAAATAGCTAGCTAGATAGCTAGATTGGTTGAGAGTTAGCCACAAATAGATAGATACAGGGATACCCCTAAAATAACACTTTCAAAGTAAAACAAAATGACAGCGTCTTTTTCGAGCCTGTTTTTTTCCCCAAAGAAAATTAGTGACACCTTCTCTCATGACTTCCTTCTCTCTTTCTCTTTTTATGTGTTCTTTCTCCTCTACCCCTTCTATATCAATATATAACTCGAATTTGCATATACTTAATACGGCCCGTCAAAAATGTATAAATTTCTTTTCATTTTTTGTTTCAACCTTTGTAATTAAAGTCGGATGATCGCAGTCCTTTAAAAGGGCAGTGGTGAAATAATTTATTACATAGAAACTTAAAGTAGTCTGCTTTTATTTAAATTATTTGCTCTAGATTTACATTGAGCTCTCTGGATTTTATCATCCTTGGGTCTACCCATACGGATTAACTAGTTTTTCATAAACTAAATATATATATATATATATATATATATATATATATATATATATATATATAGATAGATAGATAGATAGATAGATAGATAGATAGATTTTCTTGTGAGTTTGCCACAGATAGATAGATAGATAGATAGATAGATAGATAGATAGATAGATAGATAGCAAGCAATCTCTATCTGTTTTAACCGCAGATAGATTCTACCTAGAGTAGTTATTCTCAGAGTATATTAAAACGTTCTCTGAGGATAGAATTATGAAGATGGCTGAAACACAGAAGATAACGGAACAAAAACATTAAATATGTTATTTAATAAAGTCAATATTGGAATATTTTTTAATAAAATGAACCAACGTTTTTCAATTACTCCATAGAGTAATTCGATTTTATTTTATTTTATTATATTTTTTTTTTTTCTTTTTCTTTCAAACCTTATTTGCTGTTTGAAAATTTCCTTCCTTGGATTTACTTCTTGTTTTCTTTACTACCATTTTCGACATCTTTTCTCTTTTTGCCTCTTCTTAAACTCTGTTTCGAAATAATTTAACATCGCACGTAATTTTTCACGCTTCTTTCTTTTGTTTTAAATACATTGTTCCTACATTGACATTATTTGTCTTTAACAGATTTTACTCTTTTGATTAACCTATACATTTTTCCTTCCTTCCATTTTTTTTTCTCTATTTTTTCTAATCTCTATGTTTTCTGACTTTCCTTTCCTTTTTAATTTAAACTTTTTTTTTGGTTGTTGTTGTTTTTTGAGGTGGGTTAAATTTTTCTCGCACACGTTCCTAATTTCTCCTTTAGCTTTAAAGTCACGAGCCATGTCCGATTCCCCCTTGGGCTCAAATTTGGTTTCAGCTAAATATGTTTAAATTCAATCTCTATTATTTTTATGTAATGTTCTTCATAACAATGTTTAGTACAGATCCTTTTCTTTCTTCCATGTTTTTCTTTTCTTTTCTTTTTCTCTTTTTGCCTATTTATTTATAAAGACTTTTTGATAATCTTATATCTGTTTTCCTTGTTTCACTGGTTTCATTTCTTTAAAACAGATTGTAGAGAAAAAAAAACGGGGATGTTGCTGGCGAGTTAATATATACAAAAATCACGCACACACACATGCGGACACACACACATAAATGAGTATAAAACATACGTGTATGGTGTGTAGATATATGATTTAAAAAGAATCTCTGACGTACACACTGATAGTAAAAATAGATAAAAACTTATTGTTTTGCTCTCGAGTGTTTGTGGGAAACAAATAAGATTTTGTTTACTGTGAAATGTGATAAACATGAATTTATACTAGAGTCTCCACCTCTCTTTATAAGAAAACGTCCATAAGGCCTTTCCTTCCACATCCGCACTCCCATTAAAAATAAAGACATAGGAAAATGGAAAAATGACATTTTTTTTTTGCTATATACAACGCAAAGATATATTTATGAAGCATAAGAAAAACAAATCTATGTTTGGATTTATTAAAAGTATATCTTAAAATATAGCGAAAAATATTCTATTATACACAGACACATACACATATGTATATATATATATTACTTTCGCATGTAGACGATATATATATATTTCAAATTTGCATGTGGGCATTAGACAAATCATAATTTACATATATATAGATATCACATATCATGCACGTCAACATATATATATAGATCTTATATATAATGTGTATCAACCTGCCTTTATCTATCTATCTATCTATCTATCTATCTATCTATCTATCTCTATATATATACACACACACACACACACATATATATATATATATATATATATATATATATATATTTATACACATACATATATATATATATATGGAAATATAATGTTGTTTATATGGTAAACTTTTATATAAAAAATACGATAGTTGCAGAGCTTTGGAAAATATCTGTATTATTAATAATAAAAATTACTATTATTATTATTACTATTATTATTACTATTATTATTATTAGAAGAAGAAGAAGAAGAAGAAGAAGAAGAAGAAGAAGAATAAGAAGAAGAAGAATTGACCATTTTGCATCAGGTAGCAGTATGGTAGCACCTACTGAATATAAAATTGGCATGATAGAAAGAGCCAATATTTGCACGGGAAAATATGCAACTTTTCCAGGAAGGAAACTGCAAGAAACTGGTTTGAACAACACCCATGGTGAAAGAGTTGTAATACCTGAATATCTTCAGAAAAAGATTTTCATACAGGTCATCCAGGCATCTCTAAAACGAAATCTCTCAAGCGCAGCCCCTTTCTACTGGTCCAATATGGACGAAGACGTGGAGATATTGTTAAAAGCGTGCAGAGGTTGTCATAGCAGCAAAATCAACGCGCTTATTATATCAAGTTATTCCACGATTGCAACCGGTACCAGTATTAACTGCCACATAGTCAGGTCTACAATGGTTAAAGCAGTTCCCCTAGATGGCTTTCTCATGAGGTAGGCCGCTAGAAACCCTGCAGGATTAAAATCAAAACGTGTTAAGCGACTGATGAGCCTTCTTCGAGGGTCAACGGTTATATAGTGCAATGGAGTAATCTGAGCTACCCCATTGATAATAATCTTGATGATGATCGTATTCATATTTTAAATTTGTTCGTATTTATTACAGTGGAGTGTATTGAGTCATGTCTTACCCAATCTCTAAAGCATCGTTGCTTAAATATTAGCTAATTAAATTACGATCCACAAGAGCATCAGTACAACATACAACTGACATTTATATATATTTCCCGCCATATAACAAGCGAAAACTATGGCAACGCGTTTTACTGTATTAATTCATTAGGAAATTCTGTGAATATTTAAGTCCTTAAGGAATCATGCGAAACGGCTTTATCAGATAAACAGACAGGAAATATCCTAAAATATGGTTATTCCACGGTTCTTGTATTCTCAGGCATCTCGCCGTGAGATAACGATTAACGAGCTGATCTGATAGACCATTAGTGCTAATTTCGGCTTATGGCCACATCATAAAGAAATACCGGTTCCCTTATAATCACGAATTTAAGCAACTGAAATGGGTGAATACGAGGTATTGTTAGTGTGGATGTGCGGGTGGTGTAATGGATAATGACTTGGAATTGTTAATCAGGGAGCCAAGTTCCAATTCCAGTTGAGGTCGTTATGTTCATTTACGTATAAATACCGTTTAGAATGGTATAAATTCACCCCATCTCCCAGCTATGAGGTAAGTATTAAGGCATGTATCACCGAAGCATTATTATCTCCAAGATAATTCTTACAATCTAAAAATGTTCTCTGGCTTTGAATAACTTGCAAAAGGTTGATAAGTCGTAAAAAATCAATACATTTGATCGATAACTCTTGGGAATATCATATACGAGCAAGGACATTTTAAGTATATTAACTATATTATATTCTAAAAATATATTTTTGACCTTAAATAACATGAAACGGTTAATAAACTGTAAAAAAATCAATCAATCAATATATTTATCCTATTATACATACATGGGAATACATTGTAACCCGGATATAAGAGAGTTGTCGGGACCGGGGAAGAAGTCTCTTATATCCGGGTTTCTCTTATATCCGGGTTTGGTCTATTTTGTTTAGGTAAGTATGGGAGCACTTTGGGACCAGAGAACATCTCTCTTATATCCGGGTTTCTCATATATCCGGGTCTCTTACATCCGGGTTACACTGTATATAAAATTTCTCGGGGTGAAAAGATTTCCAAACTCACTGTTTTAATGAATAAAAATTAGATTACTGATTTGGAGGAGTTGTGTGTATTGAAGACTTTTTTGCCTCACTCCCCACCATATATATATTGGTAGCATGTTTTCATTGAGACATGATTATTTGAATAATATAGACAAGTTTTGTCTACTTATTTTCATTTAGATCTTTTCATATTCACGGACAAGCTTTTTGATGTCATTATTTGTTGTAACCTAGGGAAGGAGACTGAATAAGATAATCAACTGAAGGTTGTTAATGAACGATAACACTTAGGACAAGAACAACACATATAAGATTCGCCAGAAGCGCGTAGAAATAGTCAACTGAATCTCCAACTGCAGGATATCTACCAACCGCCTCACGCGGTCAGATGTGGCACAAGGCCTAATTTAATATGGGGTATCCGAACCCGTAGGCTCGGCCAAAAATTCCCTGTACACCCCGTATAAAACGAGGTCGGGTAACTGTTTTCCGAGACGAGACTCTGTGCTTCGGCATAGACTCGTCTTGGGATCATCACTGCCAGGAGGAAGAGAATTTGACCGGCTGGAGACGAATCTCCAAATACAGACTAATATGCAGTATTTATTGGTATTTATTTGAATGGGGACATACTAATTATTGTCCGTAGGTATGCTACAACATTAATAAAGGGAGAAAATTACCGTGTAGATGTATATTATTTATTCCGAGTACATTGGACATTAGCATAATATCATCACCATGGTGTTGTTGTTTTTTTCAAGACATATATTGTAGTCTGTGGGATCATGTTGAGATCATAGACAGGGAACACCATTGGAAAATTCGTAAACTTAAGGAATCAGCACATATGCTAGGCCACAAAAATCTCCTGAGCCGACCAAGCATAGAAATAAATACAATATGGGAACCAGTAATAAGGAGTGCCAGAGAAAAGCAATGATAACAAAGTTGCAATATGAACTCTGGTAAAGACATGCAATGATAACAGCAAAAAAATTGCAATATGAGCACTGGTAAAAATGATGCTGAAAACATTAGGTTTATAATACTCAGAAGTTCATACCCAGATGTCCTCAAGATGGCACAGTGTTGTTAGATCCAGTGACAGACCCAAAGAAGGTGAGTTCAATTCCTGGTTAAGGCAGTGGAGTACTTTCAGAGGGAAAAATAGCAGGGGATAACTGACATCCATCAAACATGGCACGTGGAACTAGAACAGTCTACCCCAGTGATCGAAATAAAGTGTTCATTTCGAAATTCCAACCACCTGAAGAAGGCCGGAGCGTACAACGGCTGAAACGTTGTGACAATAGTCCGATAAGAAAGTTTTCGCTTAGACTTAATTAGATCATGTGGTCGATGATGCAGAGAAGTCATTGAAAATAAGGGGATGTTTACCAAATGTTAAATTTTGTTGATATTTTGTTCACAATCAAGTATTAACAAGATCGTTCCTTAACTTTTGTCCAGTAGCTTATTTACTTTGTTCCATTTAATCTTTATTTAAAAAAAAAACTATTATGTAAATTTTTGTAACTTTGTATAATATATATGCATTACAGCCTAATCTTTATTCGGTAAAAATTTCATTTCTCGTCATGCATTACTTTTTAAATAATACACATATTTATGTCTTTGTTGTTTCCGCTCCTTATATTATGGCCGCTACTGTATATATATATATATATATATATATATATATATATATATATATGTGTGTGTGTGTGTGTGTGTGTGTTTTGTGTGTGTTACTTTTTGCTACCTTTACTATACGACTATTGTTAATATTAGACTGTAAATAATTTAACATTGTATTTGTTAATCCATTTCCATTAACGTATCTCCAACATTTTTTAATTATTATTGTTCTGTCTTTTTTTCTCTCCTCCATTTAGTCTTACTATTAGTAACGTATTTATTTACTTATTCCTTTATCTGCCTTTCTCATTTTTTTATTTATCTGCTTTGTTTAATTGTTCTATTCATTTAATATTTATGTTTCTTTTTTATTTTATCTTATTTTATGTTATTTTGTTTTCAATGATATGTATTATTTTTATTAGTTCTTTCCTTTTTATTTTATTTTATCACGGCATATTTTATTATTGATATCTCTACTCTTATTTAGTTTATTAATGTTAATAATATTATTAATTTATTGATTTACATGAAAAAATACAGTTCCCCCGCTTGATTTTTTTTAACTTTTATTTTTACCTTTCGATTACAACAGAATCTCTCCGATTTAGAATTTAGAATTCTTATTTCCAACCTGATTTTCAATCTTTAATTCTAATCTGGGCTCAAATTTAAATCCAAAATTAAACTACAATTCATTTAAAAATTTTAACAACTGTAATAATCCACCCTTACAATAAAATATCTCGCGATAAAAGAAATATGAGAGAAGCTGTGTTAACCCCAAAAATTGCTCCTGAAGAATGCAGAGCATATGAAACTCTGAGTTGTGCAATCAATGTAAGATATTATGTATAGTTCTTAATATATTAAATAACTCTGTTATTTAACATTCAGCACTGTTTTTCTTACACTGTATATATATATATATATATATATATATATATATATATATATATATATATATATATATATAAAAAAAAGGTAAAAAACTAATATTCCATGGTCTTAATTTATTCCATTGAATCATAAATGATCAATTCATCAGACCTACAAATTCAAAAAATATGTAGGTCTGATGAATTGATCGCATTTATGATTCCAATGGAATAAATTATAACCATGGAATATTAGTGTTTAAGCCTTTTTATTATATCCTTACTCTGTCCTGGACATTGAGTTCTACCTGGATTCTATCCTCTGATTTATTTTATATATATATATATATATATATATATATATATATATAAATATATATATATATATCACAAATGCAGGTTGAAAATGAGTAGGGTCTACTGATCTTGCAAATCTACATTCGAAATCTGATTCATCATTGCCCGACACAGTAGCCAAGGAGGTTTAAGCATCTATCTGTCTATCTATCTATTTCTCTCTCTCTCTCTTTCTCTCTCCCTATCTTTTTATCTCTCTCTCCCTCTCTCTCTCTCTCTCTCTCTCTCTATATATATATATATATATATATATATATATGTGTGTGTGTGCACGTGTGTATACGTGCGTTCGTGTATGCATATATACTTAGAAATAGATAAGAAGATCCTGAGACAGAAATGAATGGATTCAAAATACGTACAATGATAGATACAAACAAATCAAGGCAAATTTAACTGTAGTGATGTCGATAGAAAACAAGTGCATAGATAGATAGATAGATAGATAGATAGATAGATATGGAAATTCGGATAAAGAAAGAAAGAAGTGAGTCATTGATGAGTCGTGTGGCATCGTTTACAAATTGGCGAAAGAAGGTTAATTAAGGTAAAGTGATATTAACGAGGCGAGAGGAAATCATTTTAGAATCTGTCAGCGCTAAGTGGAAGAAAAATTGTTCAAGAAGAGAATTCAGTGTGCCACAAAGGGTTAAGGGTGGGAATTGGACCAATGTGATTAAAAGACTACGCTGAATAAGTCAGAGTGGAGATAGAGGACGTGGAAAAGTAACGTGTGAAGAACAGTCGGAATGATTGAATGAATCGATGTCCAAGTACAAAAGGCCATACCAAACCCAATGCAGCAATGTAGGAAGCTTTTAAAAAAAATAGAAGGAAAAAGCGAAATTAATAGAAGTATTTATTTTATCATGGAATATACGAGTGTCTTTTTTTTTAATAACTTAATGTTTTACGGTAACAAGGTTCCATCCTGTTCATGGTGACCATTACTGCTCATCATATCCTAATATCGTAGGCTTTTGCATGCTCCAATAATATGCATGTACTATCGAAATGGTAATACGTGCGAATCAATTATACGAGACTTGAATATTTCATATTAACTTTGGATTTTATTAACTGCAATACTTCGTCAGAAACACCCTGCCGATGTATGTATGAAGCGGTTTCGTTGAACCCGGTCTGAAACATTTACATTACATTCTGTCTTCGATATGTGAGAGACTCCCCAAAACTTCCCTAGTTCAGTAGTTTCTATAACTGCATGTTTTACGAATCTTTCCGATGCTTGCAAAACTGAATGCAGGAGTTTCTCTCCATTCTGCAGCCAGGCGTAAACAACGACCAATTTCTGCACTTGGCTTCCTTTATAGCGCTGTGTAGAATTGCATACAGCGAGATACCCGCTGACACACATTTTATTCACTCCATTACTCTGGTCAGAAACTCTCCGCCGGTGTGTGGGAGAAGCCGTCCCGTCACATCTAGTCCGATACGTCGACCTTACATTCTGATGTGTTATAGACTGCGCAACGCCCCTCTCGTGTGGTTGATTCTATAACTTCTGCTTAAATAACTTTCCTTTTTTCCATTAAGAACATTCCCAGACAGATATTATACGCCTTCGTAAAGAGCACGTTTCTTTGGGCTTTATTTTATTTTGTACGTGTCCTTCAGGATCTTTTACATGCCCTTTACGACGACAGCCATGAGAAAATTTAAGAAGAGATACGATGAAACCAGGTATGTCTAACTATTAATTGTAAGAAAATAAAATGCATGGTGGTAAGAAAAATGGGTAGCCATGAAATTAGATACACATCTGAAGCGTCAAAATCAAAGAAGAGCAGACATTCCACTGACCTGAGGTGGAACAACTACATTGAATCAATAGCTGCATCTTCCGCAAGAAAATTTGGTTTTCTGTGTCGCACCAGAAGGTTTTCTTGGTTGAGTCCATCCTTCACATCTACAAATCTACAATTTGTCCATGCATGGAATACTATTGCCATATATGGTCTGGTGCCTCCGCTGTTCATCTCGAGGTTCTCGACAAAATCCAAAGACGGATATGCAATGTGATCAGTCCTGACTTGGGGTCTCGGCTTCTGTCACTTTCTCACCGATGTAATGTGGCTTTCCCCTGTCTCTTCTATAAATATTTTCATGGCATCTGCTGACGAGTTATTCTCACTGGTGCCCCGACTGCATAAATTTAAGTGTGTTACTAGGTTGGCATCTCGGTCCCTTTAATCGAAAGAGTTAAATGTAACCGCCTCTTCTACTCGAAAAGTTTCTTCTCACACTTCCCGGCAGTGGAACTCCCTTCCTCTTACTTGCTTCCCTGATAACGATACTCTCCAAAAATTTAAATGCAGTGTCAGTCGACATCTTCTGTTGCCTTCATCCCTGTTCTTATTTTTATCCTCCTCCGTTCCTCTTTTTATCCTTTCCTCAACCCCCACCCCCATACTCAGTCTTTTCCCTTACTTACACTCTCTGTATCCCCCTTGCGCACTTGTGACACTCCCGTCTTGCTTGGAGTGAAATACTTAAAAAAATAGAAAATAAAAACTATCAAAGCTGAACAGAACGGATGTCATCCTCATCAGAGATGTTTCGACTTGAAAGGACATTGTAAATCAGTGAGACTTTTCATCTTCAGTATGGCTGCTCATTTCCAAGCTTACCCATTTGCTCAGGCTAATTTGAGTTTCTTCAATACTCACAGAGCCAATGTCTGGTTTATACTGCAACCATACTGAGCAGATTTTTGGGATAAATACAGTTTTAAATTAAGTTTTCCTTCTTCTATAGTGGTTGCCAATCATGGCTAGAGTGTCCAGTGTTTCTTGTTATTTAGCTCATAGCTGAATGAATAATAGAGGGATTCATACCTATTAAAAAGGGAATTGTGCGAAAGTGAATATAACGATCTCAACCGGAATTCGAACTCCGCTCTCCGATTTCTCATTTCTTGCCTCTAACTATTACATGCACATCCATAAAACGGAATTTTCACACAGAAACTGGAAGGCGCATAGGAATAACTAGAGACTTCTTTTTTTCAGAAACAGAACAAGAGATTAAAGAACGAAACAAAATAACACCTATTTTTTTCTTTATGCGCTGTCACCCTTCAGGACGACGATGATCTTTCTTCTTACGCTTAGCTCTGAGCAATACTTGTCTTTCAGAAATGAATAATAAAAAAAAAGAATGGGTACTGCTACGCAAATATATATTCTCCATAAAACAGTGAATGTTTGAATTTCATCACAAAAGACGAAAAGAATTAAAACGGCATAGATATAGTTCGACCCTGCTTACGGCCATATCACGTTGAAACACTACTTCCTATATGATCACAGAAACCTTGTCAGTACCTATATGGGTGATCGCTTGGCAATAGCAGTTGCTTTAAGCCTGGAAGTGCGGTTGATGTAATCGATAATAGCACAGAATTTTAAACATCTGGACAAACAAAATACCCATAATTACCTTAATTCTACAGACAATAGCATTTACTGGTTGTTGCTTATATAGTCAACCATGGCATGACCGAGAATTTATTTTAATATTTATCCAGATCTGTATTTATTTGAATTCACGCTTTTTTAAAATAACGTTTTAGCAATAAATTAAAGTTATACTTGGCTTAAGAATTAACTTCCAATTACATTTGGATTGTATGTATTAACTTATGTGTAAATACACTTGGGTAGGTACAAATCCAGCTCATCCCTACCAACTATAGGTTGTTTAGTAGGACATGGAATCACTAAATCATTAGTTTATCCAAAAGAATTCTTACAATCTAAAAATGTTTTATGCCTTTAAATAACCTGTAAGAGGTTGATAACCCGTAAAAAATAAATCAATCAATTAATCGATATAGTTCCATCGACAAATCTTGGGATGATCATTTGAAGTAGATTAAGAATTACAACCATACAATTGAAAAACTCAAAACGAGGCTGCTGAAAAACTTGAGGACACATTATGAGAAAAGATTTATAGATTGTAACAAAATATCGCAGAAATGTGGGTGCCATAAAGAAAAGATATGAAGCTGTGGAGATCCGTGATTTTCAACGTCCTGAGTAGAAAGAGAGCACAGTGTAAGTGATATGCTATTAAGCGCGATTTATCTCGCTTGACTTTCACGAGAATTTCGTTACTCTTTGTTTGTGTCAAATATTTGACTGTCTGGCAACGTGCAGCTCAGATCAATATGTATAATAAATATCTAAACGGTCATATAACCAAAGAGGCAAAATGATTTTCTCAGGCCGAGAAAAATTGATGGAAGTTTCTTTATTTCTCCTAATGGAACGATATGAAAGATAACAGACGATAAATGTGAAACACTAGATAACCTAGGAAATGGACAAAGCGACCTCTCTGTCAATTGGCCTAAACTTTAGACATTCTAATCATGAAGTTTCATTATACTGTTAATGTGAATTAATATTTATGTAGTCAAGCTAAATTTGTCAAAGATTGAAGATCGAACGCACGACTAATTATCCATTATACAAGCTTGCTAAACACGACACTATAGCGAGCCACACTATTCCTAGGATTTTGAGTTTTATTTGGGGGGAAAATGATATTTTATTTCTCCATATCCTCCTGGCGACATTTTAAACTAACGCGTTGTTTTTGTCAGTGTATTGTGACCATTTTGTTTCCTATTTTGTAGTTCAGATAGAAATAATAGAAATAAAAACACTGGACGTTTTTCAACATATTTCGACGAAATTTTTACTTTTCAAAATGATACAGAATGCAGCAAAAATACCTCCCACATAGACCTCCCAGAAATACTTCCCACATAGACATTGGCTAGATGAAGAAGCCATAGCCCCTGATGCCTTACCATTATTCTGGGAAGTATACAGGATCCGAAGTGTAAACTGCCGCCATTTTATATTTTTAATTTCGTGCATACGCGTTGTTTTCTTTTTGAATTTGTCGACTGTACAGTATAACAGCGTCAGCTGGGCACTGTCTGTGAGAAAAAAAAAGCACCATGAAACAATTCACTCCGCCAGTAATTTGGAAATGGCATGCTGTACAAATTAGCATTCACGCCAGAAATTCCAATACGAATATTTCAGTGTGTTTCGGCGTGAATCTGAGGACAGTGCAGATTATTCGGAAGAAGTTGGATCACAGCTCAGTCTAATTGTTCTGATAAGAGCTTCAGAATTTGCTGGTGAAGGCCTCAGGTCCCAACACGGAGGACTACATCAAGGTCATTGATGAGGTAATACTGACTTGGATAAAGAGGGTGGCTGCTGGAAGACCCTATATCCGGCAACAGGATTCTTTACCATGCCACACAAGCAGGAGACAATTTCTGCGACTACATCATACCTTACATCTTACCACCTACCCTACCCCCAGGCTGCAACTTCTTTGATTATCATGTGTGAAGTGCGGCTGAGCCAGAGACCAACAGAACTTCTTGGAACACCAAAGATGAAATGAAGACAAAATTATGCCAGCATTTACCAATTTAAACAAGGAGACAGTCCAGAAAAGTTGCAGGAGATTCTGAAGTCTTCTGGAGGCCATGGTTAAAGCCAATTGCAATTTTATTGAATAAGTTTACTTTTTAGTATTTCAATATATTTTTGTGTAATTTTGGTAAATATATCTGATAAAATAGATGTCGGTGTTATTTTTATTTTTATTTTTTTTTTGTAGTTTAGACGACAATTTATCCATTGCACTCTATATAGTTTAGGAAAAAAAGGAGAAGGCGTCAGTTTAAATTGACGCCAGGATAATAAAGAGTGATTTTCGGCTATTTTATATTCTTTAATTTTCTGAAGTTTGGGAATATTTTATTTCTCTGGGATATTTTTCTTTTATACCATTTTAATCCTTTTACATTTCCTTATTTCTGAACCTCTTTTATTTTGGAAAAAATCTTTTATTTTTTCTTTATTTAATTCTACAACCATCGATCACGCAATCAGCTGTCAGCACCCAGCCACCAAATCAGATTTTATTCGAGTTAAAATGGCCATCATAAAATTGATAAGCACTTTAATAATTCTTTCGACCGTGCCGACGATACTTTTGCCGAGACGAAATCCAGATTATGAGATCTCTGGGGCTTTGTGGGTTCTTTATGTGTACATTTGGCTGACCGCTGTGGGCATGATGGCGTGAACGGCAGCGCGCGAAATGAAGATTGACACGCTTTGACTTGAACCTGAACAAACTATGTTGACGCTTTCGGTGTCTAAAGTGCTAACGTATTTAGCTTCAGTGCCATGCAAACTGCCCCAGGGCCGCGTCAAGTGCAGTGCGTCGCAGAACAGCTGGCAAGAAATGAGAATTTGCTAGAGAAAAATAGTAGAGTGGGAGAAAAAGAGGAACAAAGAGAAAAAAAGGATGAAGCAGAAGAATATGGGAAGGGATGAAAAAAGATAAAGAAGAAAAGGGAAAAGAAGCAATTTATATGAAACCTTGGCGTAGAAAGAAAGAAAGAAAGAAAGAAAGAAAGAAAGAAAGAAAGAAAGAAAGAAAGAACTATGAAACGGTCGAATAAATGGAGGAAAATGACGGAAGGAAGGAAGGAAATTGAGGAACATATATAAATTTATAGTGAACAAGAGAGAGAGAGAGAGAGAGAGAGAGAGAGAGAAAGAAAGAAAGAAAGAAAACTTAGATGGATAAATAAATGGACAGAATTAAAGAAATAAAGAAACAAGCAAACAAATAAAGAAAGAAAAAAGTAAGAAAAATCAGGCCGATACATAAACCAAGGACGGAAAAAAAGCAAAAAAGAGAAAAAAAAAAAAAATATATATATATATATATATATATATATAGAGAGAGAGAGAGAGAGAGACAGACAGACAGACAGACAGAGACAGATGGATGGATAGAGAGAAATATTTTTATATATATATATATATAGAGAGAGAGAGAGATCGATAGATAGAGAGGAGAGGGAGAAAGATATATATATATATATATATATATATATATATATAGAGAGAGAGAGAGAGAGAGAGACAGACAGACAGACAGACAGAGACAGATGGATGGATAGAAAAAATATGTTTATATAT